TGTGTGTGTGTGTTCTCTCTCTGTTCCAGATTTTCACTTTCAGAGGTGTTAGACTGTTAGGTACCAATTAAACCCAGTTTAGGCAAGGGGCTATATGGACTAGTCTCCAGTGCTCCTATAAGAATAACTAAAAAAAAAAAAGATCTCATGTGTGGCGCAAGTTAGGGCATGGGTGTGATTGTGACAACTAATACTAGATTTGAACTAGAATTGTTGAAAATAATACTTACCTGATGACTGACCGCAGTGGTAGCATCCAAAGTTGTTGGGACGCCTCTCTGAGGAGGTCCATGTGTATATATAGAGATATGATATGCTGTTTAGATATAGATGTTTGTGAATATAGATATGCTTTGCGGCTCTGACTTGTTACTTGGCTCTGCGGCGTTCCTCGGCTTGGTCGTGTTCCGCGGCTCTGCCGTGTTCCACGGCCGGGCCGTGTTCTGCGGCGGAGCCTTGGGGCGCCCGTGGAGTGCGGTGCATGTCGCCATGTCTTGTTCACTTCAACGGGTTTGCCGTCCATGCTGTTATTGCATTTTATATTGTTTTGTTCTTATGTTCTAGCATGTTTTTTTAAATTTTTTTTTCTCTTATTTCAAATTTTATTTTATTTTTTCTTTTTATTTATTTTATTTTATTATTATTTTTAATTTTTTATTTATCTTCTTTTATCATTATTTTTTATTTCCATATTTTTCTTTTTAATTTTCATTGTTTTTGTTATTTACTCTAATATTTATTTCATTTACGGCTTTATCCTTATTATTTGTCTTCGTTTAATTTTTGTATAATTTTATTTTATTCAGTTATATATTAATAATATTATTATTATTTTATTATTATTTGTTTTTTTTTTCTTTTTTCCGTGTGTGTGTTTTCTCTCTGTTTCAGGTTTTTGTTTTCAGAGCTGTTAAAGCAGTTAGGTACAAATTAAACCCAGTTTAGGCAAGGGGCTTTATGGACTAGTTTCCAGTGCTCCTATAAGAATAAATAAGAAAGAAAGAAAGAAAGATGATTGACGTTGTTTCTGTATTTTTTCAGGATGTTGCATGACAAAATGTTTTAGCTTTTTTTAAGGATTGCTGTGAATACGTTTTAATTGAACTTTTTGTTTGCATGTGAACTTAAGAACTTTTCATTTTTTGACGCTAGTAAAAGACCTTCTAAATCTATGCAGCGTATTTAGTACTGGTAGTTAAGTATAGTATAGTACGGCACTACGGCTTAGTAAATAGTACCTAGTTATTAGTTAAGGCCATAGTGGCAAAGCAGAGAGTTTTTTAGACTCTCCCTCAAGTTCATTTTTTGAGTCATATAAGTAGACCAGTAAAGTATCCTGGATACTACTAGCAGTATCATAGCCTACATAAGAAATTGAATTAAATCTTGGGTAATAGGTAAATGAGGAAATTAAAAATGAACTGATTCTAAAAAATCTGTGGTTTGCCACTATGGCATAGTGGCAAAGCAGAGAGTTTTTTAGACTCTCCCTCGAGTTCATTTTTGAGTCCTATAAGTTGACCAGTAAAGTATCATGGATACCAGCATTATCATACATAAGAAATTGGTTTAAGTCTTGAATAAATAAGGAAATTAGAAATGAACTGATTTTAAAAAATCTCTGGTTTGTCACTATGCCCGGGAGGGTAGCTGTGGATGGTTACAAGCTTGGAAAACATCTACCCTTAGGGCCACAACTAGAGCATTTCCACTATTTCCAAAACCGCAAGATTTCTTAGATTTCCAGCAGATGAATTACTTCCTGTCTAATTGTTGACAAAAGTGCACAATCAGGCAGCAAGATTCCAATTGAATTAAAAATTTGAAATTTTGGAGCTACGAGATTTTGGAAACAAGTAGGAAAATTCCAATCCTGGACGGTTAGACGGAACTTAGACCCAGAGCCAGAGGCAGGCATAGAATATAGTATCTAGGGTAAATGCGGTATATTCCGACACATTAAGGACGCATCAAGAAATGAAAAACTATTAAAAAAACCGTATGCGTTACGTAAGTTCTGTTGCCTTCACATGACTCTCAAAACACTTCACTACGCGTCACTGCGTCAGCAACGATGAAACGTCACAAAATGTTGCCATATTTATTAAAAAGCCTTTAGAATGGAAACCTACCAAATCCCTATATTCCGTCACTTTGTGTGGCAACATCCAACACGTGGTGAGTCGTATTGCGTCAGTGCTTCAAATTTAACTGATACGTATTGCCGACATCCACGTGTTCGAATTCCGTTTGCTGTGTGAGCTGTATTGGGATACAACACGGCTTTGAATTAGAACACTAACGAATATTGAACACTACTTAATTACGTTTTAATTAACAGCTATTAGGCTTATAATTAAGCAAATTTAAATTTTTGTACAAAGCTTTGAACGATCTGTGTGTGTCCAATTCAAGTTGTGTCGGAATTAGTTTTCATGAGTCGAAATCCAACATCTCAACTTAATCATCTATTAATTTATTTACGACTTGAAATCAGCAAATACAAGTATACTTAAAGGATCCCTAATATATTCACAGACGTATTTAAAAGTCTCAAACCATAATATTCTTCCTATAAAAACAGTTATTCACTATTTGGTAGAGCCATGTCAACTGTCAAATTTGACACATTTTTTGATGATCTCACCATGGGGCATGCATTGTCTCTCTTTGGATCTCAATATTTTCCCACTAGATGGCCAAGACCTAGTGTTTTGGCAGTATTTTGACTCGCAAATGCATGACGTCACCATTTCAACCAGCAACAAATGCATGGAACTAAAACAAAGCTTAAAATAAAGGAAAAGCTGGAGAGGTGACGGAATTACCTACGATGTCAGAATATACCGCGTTTACCCTACTTGGCAAGCCACGACTGAATATTTCAAGCCTTTTTCTGTTTTTCATCTAACTACATTTTAACTATGGATTTGCCAGCCGTGATTCAATTTCTTTGAGCCATAAATTCCATACCTTGGCCATTGAAAGCCATTTGCGAGCCTGCCGGCAGCCACAAACTTTTTCCCAAGTCCCGTGCAACAGTGCATCATCAGTCATCACGGTGCATTTGTTACCCCTAATCTCTGATTTTACCCTAAAAACAGTCAACATTAACATTTGTCTTCACTCAAGTGGTGACTGATCACATGATATATAATGCAGTCTGACTCTGACCGCTCTGACATGACCGCAACTACGCAATCTTTACGGGAATGTTTAAGATTGACTTGCTGTTATTATGTTTTGCAGGATATTTTGGAGGGATTGTCGAAGTATTGCAGATTGAAGAAGTTGAAAATTTTATGAAACAACATGCTTGCTGAGTGCAAACCACAACTTTTTCATTCAAACTAAAATGCATGACATTAGAGCTGCAAGATTTCATACCTAAATTAATTTTTTAACATAATATAATCAAAACTGTTCCTTTACTTCTTGTCAAAATTGTGGAATTTGTTCAGCCGCCACATTATATTGATCAATCGTCTGTCACTTCAGCATCTTCAGCTTTAAGTATTTCCCCATCACCTGTCCTTTGTCAAAAGGGCTTGTTCAAGCAGGAGCTGTAGTCTCTTATGTAGGTACTCAGGTTGGATTTCTGGTTTTGTTCCAGACACATGGAAGCATGGAATTTTTGTGCCCATTGCCAAGCCAGGAAAGCCACAAGAACAAGTGAATGGGTATTGACCCATTACTTTTCTTCCTTGGAAAAACTCAAGGAGCCAGCAAATCATTTGCTCCATGAAATATGGACCACGGTTTTTCCCATTTGCTGCAAATGATCCTACGTTGCCTTTAATATACCTTGGAGAGAGGAAATGTTTTCTCTTCACTTCAACTTGATTTTCAAAAAGGAAAAAGGACAATTGATGCAAAAAATAGTCTGAACTGATACTTGTGAAATTATAACAATTTTTGCCACTTTAAAAGTATGGTGGCCAAAATTTGGCATTCACCATTGTAATGATTGTAGCATCACAATTTGTGATAGTATTGGTGTCCTGCTTAAATTGTGGGTGACAGTTGGCAGACATGGCAATGGGTCTATCATCTAATGTCATCAATTTCTTGGGCTGCCTTATTATTGCTAATGCTATAGTTTTGTTAAACTGCAATAAGAAGAATAAATGAAAGCTTAAATGAAAATTTTCTCCATGAATGTGCAGATGAGTCATTGCTTTCATTTCATTCTTTAACAAATGATAATTTTTTCAAATGTACCTATGCTCTGCTCTCCATTATCATTTGAATAAATTACTTTAAACAATTCAAACCAAAAGAATAGATTGCCAACAACTATACCAAAACAATGGTAGATTCTACACCCATTAGTGGTGTTTATCCTCCAATTTTTACTTTCTCAATGGGAGAACAGCTGCTTATTGGAATTTTGATGGCTGGAATCATAGCATTCTTTCTCATGAAATTCAATAAACGAGCTTTGCGCTGGGATTTTCAACAGTATTATACCATCAACAAACATCACTGGTGCCACACAGGATCTTTTATTGATGTAAGTAAATTTACAATTAGTTTAAATGATGATTAAATGAATTAAGAACCAGAATTTAATAAATATGCTTCAATACCTTGTATTTTTAAGCAAAGTTATGCTCCACCTGTCCACCATGTGTTTGTATGGTCGTACCAAGTACAATTGTTTGTATGTACAAAGTACATTGAACCAGCAGTCTGGCACTAGCATAATCTAAATGTCTAGAGCACATATTAAAACTTTTTATGAGAATTATAAAGAAAATTGAACGGATATTAATTTATCAAGAATATCCATTAAACAGAAATTTAATGTGTACTGATTTTTTCCAGCCCTCCTACTGCAGCATATGTGAAGCTGTCATTGTTGCCAGTGGTGGGGCCTTTTGTGACTGCTGTGGCTTGTTCACTGATAATGAAGACTGTGTTGATAGTGCTGAAAAAAACGTACCATGTAAGCCCATGACCCTCATCAACTCTAAATTCACTCACCATCACTGGGTAAAAGGTAAGTCATCTTTAGAGCCTATCAATTTGGTGGAATGCAAAATCTTTGATGACTAGTTAGGGTCTCTCATACATGTGTGATAGATTTTTCAATGTATTGAATACAATCCTGATTTGATCTTAATGATTTATTTAGTTAGTTGACAATTTTAAAACTATTTTATATTTATTTTGTTACTTAATCTTGATCTTGACACTTGAACATTTTTCTTACAATTCTTTCTTGAGGAAATCTGTAATATTTGTTTATATTTGTTTGATAAAACAATAAATTATAAACACAGCCATTGTGTTTGAGATAAATGATGAAATATATAATTAATTTGTAATTTTTTAAAGCCTCAAATACATATATAAAACCTTTGCTGTCAAAATTATCTTTATTTCTAGAATAAAATGGGAAGTTTGTTAAATAATTAGTTACCTTTTTTATACTTGATATCAATTTGCAATTTGTCTGCTGGTTTAAAAGAAAGCATTTCTATAGGTACTGTACCGTACATAATTTGTTTCCTGTTTATGCTACTAATAAAAATTTAAGCTAAAATTACCATGGATGCTAAAATGTCCTTATATCTATGTTCATTGAAAATTATATTTAATGAAGCTTGTAATTTTTTTCCTATTGGGTTTTTTTTTAATAATTACAGGATGCTTTAACATGTTTAACTTTAGCTCTAGTGTACTGTCAGGTAACCTACCAGCCACCAGCTGCCTGTGCATGGTGTGTGGTGACGAGTGTGGTGAGGGTGTGGGGCTTGTGGACTTCATGTGTGCTTGGTGCAGCACAACTGTTCACAATGTGTGCAAGGCTCAGCTTGACCAGGTACTCATTAGTACATTCTAAATTTTCAATGATGATGAGAGCTGTTATTCAGTGCCATGGAATATCTTTATGAAATTTTCTCGAGATTTGTCTATGTTTGTAATAGAAGTAGTCAAATTTCACTGTATCCCTAAAATCAAAAGAGGCTGATCTCCTCAGAAAAATTATGTTTTCAAAATAAATGTGCGAATTCATCACAAAACTAACTGATTTTCAATCGTTTTTTGCAATTTGCTCTATCAATGTTCATTTGAATGTTCTGTGTTGTTTATCAATAAACTTTATGGAATTAAGAGCTATGCTATGTAACAACAATAATGCCAGCTCAAATAATAGATTCTAATAGGGTCGATGTTACTTTAGGTTTTATCCTTTCTATCTTTGCCCAGGAATGTAATTTTGGAGAACTGCTGCGCTTTGTGGTACCTCCTCACTGCGTCCAGCTCACCAGAGCTCGGCTATGGCGTGGTGTTACTGTCAAGCGAATTTCTGTGCCTGCAGAAACAACCAACTGGAACCCACTCATTGTTATAGGTTTGCTGAAAATCTTGCTGAAGCATGGCTTTTTACTTGAATTTTTTGCTTCCTCTCATTTTTTCCTTACCTCTCTACCTTCTCTTCATTTTTTCTCAACCTCTCTACCTTAATTTTTTCTCTATGAACTCTACCTCTCAAGGGTATCATATGTTGAGATTTTTTTTGACATTGCGTAAAAAAACCTGATAGCAAGATCTTGCTGGACAAACATTCTAGGTGATGACCTGCCCTGAGAATATTTTAACCGCCAGAAATTTGCAAAATATTCACTGATACTGATTGAATTTACCTATAGGTACCAATTTTCAACTATCTAATTTATGACTAACATAATTATCACCTGAAAAAGTTTTTAAATATTTCTTAATGCTATCAAAATATGCTACTGCTTATAAACCCAATAATGTTAAGTGGAAACAACTATCCCTTATTTTTTCAACAATCAGCATGAATAGTTTGCCAGGAAAATTATTATAGCATGAGTTACTGTGAGATTTTTTGTCTGAGTGGCCTTCATGTATTTTTCTATGTCTATTTCGATATGTATATTGGAAATGTGTATTATATACATCAATTATATGAAAATGCCCTCTGAACTAATTTTGGGCTGACAATACCACCACAAGAATATAACAGTAAATTAGAATTGGGCTTTATATGAAGTTTCCATTGTTGTGAGCAGGCAACGTGGCATCAGGGAGCAGTGAGGCAGAGGTTGTGCTGTCAAGCTTCCGGCGCTGGCTGAACCCAGTGCAAGTACTGGACGTATCTGTGGTGCCTGTTGAGGAAGCTGCTCGGTGGTGCCGCCTTCTACACGAGAAGCTGGCCACTCAATCTACTTCTGGTGCCAGAGAAAAATTTCCCTCACAATCCGTTGGTCAAAATAATCATTTGCTACAGAAAGGCTTAGATGTGACCTCAGGGGACACAGAGGTTGTTGATGGAGATCACAGACACGCTGCTGTGTCAGATGATGGAGGGAACCAGACGGACGGTCAGACTGATGACTCTGGCCGTGCTGTGACAGTTGTTATCGCCGGGGGCGACGGCACCATTGGTTGGGTGCTAAACACTCTACATAAGAAGAAACTATTACAGGTTTGAGCTTCAGCGCGCGGAACTCGATATTAGTGTTGAATCTTTCTAGACAAATAGTTTTTGTTAGATTCACTTTCATATTCTTACCGTTCACAGTCAAATTCTTATTATAACAAACTGAAATTTTATGATATATGTTTATACTGCGATCAAATCTTGGCTTCTGAAAGTTGACAATTGGGACTCATTGATATCTCAATCTACGAAGTTTTGCTCAATGAATCATTTTTATTTTAGTGTTATCAACAAATTATGTTGATAAGTTAGTGTTATCAACATTGTTAGTGGCAATCAAGAAATGTATTACTACCCGGTATTTAATTTTCTTGCAGCGCGTGAAAGTTGCTCTTGTACCGCTGGGTACAGGCAACGACTTGTCTCGTGTACTGGGCTGGGGCTCTGCGCTGGACGCTCCTCTGGACGTTCCTAGCTACGTGAAGCGCGTTGTGCAGAGCACCTCTGTGCAGTTAGACCGCTGGTTGGTGCATTACAGCCCAGCAAGCACCTTACACCACATCAACATCTTACCATCTGTGGTCCCGACTAGAGAGATATATATGAACAACTACCTGAGCGTTGGTGTCGATGCTCTAGTAACACTTCGCTTCCATCAGGCACGTCAAAGTCCATTCTATTTATTCAATTCACGTCTTCTGAACAAACTCATCTACTTTGGGTATGGCACTAAAGACGTTCTCGAGCATTCGTGTGAGCGACTGGAGAAGAAACTTGTGGTGCGCATGGATGGAAATCTCGTGCCACTTCCTCCTCTGGAGGCGCTAGTGGTGCTAAATATACCCAGCTGGGGGGCGGGTGTCCGGCCCTGGGGAATGGGTGCTGGTGGCCGCACTGCCCCCACACAGAGGATGGACGATGGTCTGCTGGAGGTCATGGCCATCAGTTCGTCATTCCACATCTGCCAGCTGCAAATTGGACTCAGTGAACCTACGCGACTGGGACAGTGTCGGTCTCTGCAGGTAATGCATCTGGAGACACTTGTATGTATTTTTGTTAGGCTCAGGTTTGTTGTGCACTCACGGGACTTACAAATCTTTGAAAAATCCTCCACTGTTAAAACCTTGGATTCATTTAAATAATTCATTTGATTTTTTGATGTTGACTTTACATTAATTTTGTATGATTTTTCAAATATTACATATATTCTTAATTTATTGAATTCGTCTTTAATCTAGATAACGTTTGTTTTCAATGTAAAATCGTAGGTATGTATGAAGTACCTGACCAGCGGATGAAATTTTCATACAAAAACAAAGCATTGAAATTACGAATTTTGTGACTTTGCAGCATTTTTTCATGATGATTGACCGTTATATACAGTGCCTTTGTATTACCTTTATAAATGTTAGAATTTTGTACAGGTTACGGTGGCTGGCTCAGCGGTGCCCATGCAAGTTGATGGGGAACCGTGGGAGCAGCAGCCCGGCACCATCACCGTCACCCACAGCCACTCTGCCACTCTCCTGTCAGCGCCTTCACTCCCGTAGCCCGGCACCATCACCGTCACCCACAGCCACTCTGCCACTCTCCTGTCAGCGCCCTCACTCCCGTAGCCTGGCACCATCACCGTCACCCACAGCCACACCGCCACTCTCCTGTCAGCGCCCTCACTCCCGAAGCGACGAGTCCTAAACCTCGATCACTTTGCATGGTGTGAGGCGTCCTTAACTGCAACCAATCTTTAATTAGGAATTAACAGTTTTAATCCTCTACTAATGAATAGTACTCAACTCATACCTATTCTTGATCATTATTGTAACTCTAATGGTGTTGATTAATCCATGTTAGGTAATCATTTTTTTGCCGCTTAATTTGAACTTTTCTGCTTGTGTTGAGTTGTCACTTGCGTTGCCTGTGCAATTGGCTAGCATAAAGAACTGTTCACGTAATGTCATTCTAGGAACATCGTTCTCGCTCCTCTCTCTCTCTCGGTCTTTGCCCGAATCACCAATTACGATACGAACAAAATGTTCCACTGCTTTTTTAGTCACAACTTGTGTTCTTAGGTTGGGGTAATGCTGTAAGAAATGGTGGTAAATGGTAATGCTGTAACTTGACGTAGAAGCTGTCATTTATTACTTTTAATGTTTAGTATATTCCTAGTCTATAGTTTTGTGTTGAAACAGCGTGTTTGTTAAAAAATATCTTATTCATAAACGGTGAATGAGCTTGTCAGATAAAAAAATCTATCGTAATACGTAGTAAAATGCTATTTATGAGAGACTATCTGCAGGATTTTTTATTGAATAAGTTGAGATCCACACGCGGTGGTGCGGCGTGCAACTGGCACTTGTTGTGAGGGCGAAGTTAATTCAAGGACCCCACCGTCATTACGGTATACGTCCACGTCAGCAAAACCCACTTTACCTTCTGCCGTTTCAAGTAAACTCATTTCATCCTCAGCCATAGTCACCTCATTATCTTTTTCAAGCTCTTGCAATTGAGACACCTCATCTAACAAAAATGCAACGACGCATTCCTAGGCGTGAGCTTTTACTTTGTCTTTTAGATCTACATTTTGTACTAGAAATTTGATTTATGCATTCTTTCTCTCTTGGTTAATTATATTGTTTTATTATTAGGATATTTTACTCTTTACTGTGTTACATTCCTCTCTTTAAACGTATATCTTAACATATCGTGAGGCATGGAATGAATTGCCTACTTGCTCTCTTGACCAGCGCGCATCTACGCACCCCCGTCCAATGCTAGTATCAAGCGGGCATTTCTTATATTTTTGTAAACGGACTTTTTTTATGTTAAAAATATTTAGCAAGAATTACATTCAATTTCAAAAATTCGTATCTATGTTGTTAGCTCCTAATTTTTTAAATTAGTACTCATTTCAATATTTTTGTGAGAATGTGCCAGTTTTGTTATGTCCTAATGTTGGCCCCCCCCCCCATTTTCTATTTAGCCATGACTATAGGCTTGGGCGTGTTTCTGAGTCTGTTCTGATATGTAGTTACTTTCTATAAGTCTCACTCAGTAGTCGAGGAGTCAGCTCCACGCCGTGTTTATAGGTTTCCTCCGTGTTTTTTTATTTTCCTTCTATTTCATTAGAACATTATTCTCTTCTGGCGGCACGAGTTGATTTTACATTCCTGACTCGATGTAACTATTTATTTATTAGTTCTGTAATTTATTTATTTATTAGAATAGAAAATTTTATTAGTTCTATAAATTTTCTATTATCCGATATTGTAATTTGTCTAGATGATATCTAGTGATCTGCGAAATTAGCCCGAGAGTATTTTGTGCATAATTGAGTACCAGGAAAAGCTTCACTGGAGCTGGGCTTCATTTTCTCTGGATGCTTTGTAAATATCGCCTTCTCAGAAACGAGTATTTTTTAGCTCATGGATTAGATTTATTCCAACTGAAGTAGCTTCACTCAACGAAGAGCTGTACGACTTTTCTTACATAGATTGCTGATCGCTGATAGAAATTTTGAATTTTGAGTGAGGCAACATTTAAGTGTGTGTGAAAATCTGCTCCCGAAACCGACGCGGTTCCTACCCTTTATGTAAACCCTCTAAATCCCATTGTATCTTTACAAGTACTTCTGGCAGGGCCATGAGTGTTTTGACATATAAGCTTTAGATTTCCTTGCATCTAAAATATTTGTGTTACGTTTTAGTTTGCAGTTTCAAATTCCCCTTGAAAGTGAATGCCTATATATTTATTCTTCTTTTCTCGCACTGTCACTTCAGTTGACATCGCTCGTTTTCACTACCTATAGACGACGTTGGTAAATTTATTGGATATTACCTCGTTTGTGTTTGTTATATGCCTGTAAATCACAACATTATAGCAAATATTCCAGTTACATGGTTGTATATTTTCTAAGTAAAAAATATTAGAAGGTATTTTCCACTTTGTTCAATGTAGTCGTGTTTGAATATTGTTGAATATCTTAATTAAACCAAATATTTCCCAGTAACTTTCCAAATCAAATCTGAACAACTTCTCATTTACTACGATAGTTTTTTTTTGCTGGCGTCTTTCAGTCTCCAGGTTCCTCCTGCTCTATATGTCATATGTTCCATACTGCGGCCTCCGTGCTCTCTTCATTAATACATATTATGATTATGTAGTGAATAACGATAATAATGCTCATGCTCTGCATAATACTCTCATCGTTTCCTCGCATTATTCAACGCGCTTTTAAATAAATAAATACCCGTTAATTATTACCCGTTTAAAAATTATTTCTTATTGCATTTTGTCCCTTGACTTTTGTGTCGGTTACTTGTACGAATAGAATTGGTTGTCGAGTTTTATGTCAAATATTTCGTTGGAATATCATCAGTGTGACCGTATCTATGATACAGCTATGTTTAAGCTTTGAGAGCATTCATTTGTATTGAATGTCCCGATTTACGTGTGATGAGAGGTCCATGCAAGGCAACTAATAAAAATCTTAATTCCTGTCCTCGTGAATGTATTTGTCTGGGTTAAAAAATATGGCATATATTTAGCCAAAGCTGACGATAACGTGGACATTATTGCCCGTGTAATATTAGATCGTACTAGTCAATCTTACAACTTCCAGTATTAGTTACGAATCGCAGAGATCTTGGTTAGCAGGACGCGAAACTTTTTTTAAAAAGATTTTAATGAGTTTGCAAGCTATGCTCGAGATTACGTCTTCTGCCTGCATGTTTTAGCTTTTTTTTTTGTTATATGTGGTATAAAAATGCGAAGTTCATTTTGAGTAATGATTGATAGTTATACGCTTCTTTTACCTTGGATATTAAGAATTATAAATTTAAGTTTATAGGATCTCTAATTAGCCTGGTTTGATATTTTAATTAACATATATATATATATGAATTCTCTCTTGGATTTAAATGTATAAATTATTCGTGTTGGCGGGACGGATCAAAAATGACGCTCACATCATAAGCAATCAAAGATCCGCCACTGGTAGAATAATACTTCAATAAATTTTCTGTATTTATGCAAACAATACTCCAAGTAGGAAATAATATATTATTAATGAATTCATTGTTCATATTGCCAGAGGCCAGTTGATTTGTGAGTGTGTAGCTAATTTCAAATGTGCTCTTAGCTGCCGTAGTTGCATAATTTGTCTGATATAACAAATTCTATTGTTTTAGTAGGCTTGTATAAATCATTCATCGTAAAATATTTCAGTAAATTAGGTTCAAAATAATTGTTAGTGTGGCCTACTAGGGAGCGATAATTGCACTGGAGTGTCGTGCGGTTCCTCTTGAAACCTTGGCTGTGCTGCACTCAGAAGAATAAATTTTAATTCTTCAAATAACGATGCACTTTTTGTCTTTGTGTGAGTCATCCTGACCCAGTTTGGCCCGGTAAAGTGCTTATCATCGCTGCATCCGTTCTCTGCTCGTGCTGTGCATAAGAAACTGCGTTACTTTTTGAACACTATTAACTCTTACGGGAGAGTTATCTCCCTAGGATTATATTCAGCCATAAGGGTGTAACTTTCTGATTATTCAGTTTGCTCAATCCGTAATTCAATTTCAATCCGTAATTCTCTAATTAATTAATCTGGCTTAGTTTTGACTTTTTCTGTTGGGTTTCATGGCGCGTGCTCCTGCTGTTCAAAAATCTTTTTGTGTGACGTATTTACGCTCACAACTTTGCCGCAAAGCACGCGTTGTCTGACTGCATGTGGATCTTGGTTGTGGAGTTGAGTTTCTGTGCAATCAGGATAGAAAAATTTAAGTTCTTTGTGCCTCGCGTGTGTCGCGTGAACGCGAGTCTTCGTTTCTGTTTATCTGTCACTTCTTGAGGTTTCGTCTCTGATTTGTTAACGCTGATCATTACTCGCCGGCTTTAGCGCAGTGTTCATGTAGAATCCAACCTAACTGCCTTACTCCAGTTATGTTTGGTTGTAATCTAAAGAAGATAATGATATAATATAGCTAAATTCTTATTTATTGTCACTATTATTATTTTAGTTAAATTAAGTATTTATGTTTGAGAGTAGCTGACGATTAGGTAATCATTAAGGTGCTTATACACGGGGCTATTAGTTGCGTCTACTAGGCTGGCAGGCTACTAAAATTTGTGATGCTTGACGTGTTCAGAGGCAACTAGCTGGTTCATTGCAGGCAAGGCAACTAGAGTTGTTTTGAAGCAGTCTATTCTATTGCGCTCCGTAGCCGCCCGGCCGTCATACCGAGCACAGCTGCGTCGCTCTCTCTCTCTCTCGCCCACTGTAGCGCGCACTGCTGTCTTGCTCTCGCATGACTCCACCGTGCACACCCTTACTCGACAACTCCCAACGTCGCATTGACGCGGGCGCAGTGTACCGAAAACACTATACTCGTGTATAGGCTCTCAGCCTGCAAAACTGTAGTAGACGCAACTACTAGCCCCGTGTATACTGTATAAGCACCTCAAGGCTTATTATTATTATTACTCTTTTAACTTGACGCTTGCGCTTGATCTCCAATACAAGGATCGTTCCCGGTCGCCTCTGTGTGTTAGACTTTCCCTAACGATCACTTCCCTCAAACAATTCCAATCGGACGCGCATGGAAAATTACCTTGGTAATCGTCTCCTGTGTTCGGTTGGGAGTACAACATCTACTTCAGAGACATCTCATTGATACTTTTAGCACAACAGATACTTTTCCAAATATTTTTGCCAAAGATAATTAAGTGAGTATGACTTTTCAAATTTTGGCACGGAATGAGTATGAATGGATTGCATGAAAGTGGGCACTAATATCATGAGCGCATGTTAGGTATTCGCCATGATTGCATTCCTCCATGCCTACGTCAGAGCGGTCTTGTATATATATTTTTTAATTTTAATTTATAAGTTAAGTGAGTATCTTCCAGATCTGAATACATAATTTAAAATTTTTGTAGGACGCGGGCAAATAGAAATTCTAAGCCATAATGTAGCATCTAGTAGGTTATTTTAGTGTTGTTGTAGCAATTAGTTGGCTTGTCATTCGTTGAAAGTCATGCAGGAACAATTTATGTCACTCTGTTCGTAGACAATTTGTATTAATATTGTGTAGGTCGAGCCTGCCCCTATTTAAGTAAATAAATTAACAATTATAATCTGCTCTTTTATTTAGAAGTAATTATCCGTTGCTACCTCTCAAAAAGACTGTTGCTTGAGATTCGTAATCTAACACTAATTTTATTTCGTTACTAGCCAATTTTATGCTGAATGAAACTAACAGCTTAGTTGATAGCTTTTTCATGGAACAATTTCGTCTACAATTCAAATCCGCCAAAGGAACAATCTTGGATATGAGGAAGACGTGAGTTACATGACGTTTGCTTCAGCTACCTAAATAATGATCAAGTCAAGGTAAATTGCACTAGATTCCGTTTATACAAAAAAACGCCAAACTTCAAAAGTGAAGAAACGGAACTAGAAGGGAGACGGTGAATGTTACTTTTTTAATGAGGGGAGTCTTGCACTTTTTCACTTCACTGACTGTCACCATCATGTATTGTTAAATTTGTACAGCTGGTATTTAAATTTTGAAATAGTAATAGCGTTGTAAGGTATTGAATATTAAGGTAAATCTCATGGTTGAACTAAAATATAGTTCAACCATGGGTAAACCTAGTTCCTGGCGAAACCAGAGGCGGCAACTTGTGGCCGTTACTGCCTTCTGTCACATCTACTTTACCCACCCTGTACTCACTACTTACAATGTACGTTCAGTCGTTTTCAATGCAAATTTTAACAGAATTATGGCGTATATCTGTATTTCCCGTCAAAACCAATTTAGTCGCTTTTTAGAAATTACGCAAGTGAATTAGTTCAACCAATGTGTGAAAATGTTAACTTATCTGCAAACACCACGACCTACAATTCATGTCTCAAATAATACCACATCGAATGCATTTTCATCCAGGTGGGTCCCCTTGAATCGCTTATCATCTGAGAGTCGCTTATACGTATTTTTTCCCTACATTAGCTAAAATTCACAATACATGAAATTTAAATTGACGATGGTGACCACCCGTTCGCCAGTTTTTTAAGACTCGTATAATCTTTAAAATACCAACTAAATCAGCTACTAAACGATTAATTTGATTTGCCTATTCCTAATTCATTCACAAAATTTCAAGTTACCATCCGTAATAAAATGTGAAGATGAATGGACTTAATTTATATCTTAACATATCACAGGGTACAATAATAAATTGTGAGTAGTATGCAACTCTCCTCAATTTTGAATGATGTTCTTGAACAGTATACATCGTAAACTTAACAATTACATTTATGATACAGAAGTAAAATTTATTGTTTACACGGAATATCAAAATGATCATGCTTACGAAAAGCAAAATTTACTCAGACCCAGCACAATACGCCCGTGAATTGTAGTTTCGCCACTTCTCTTCTGGAAACGACTAATTATTTTTCGATCGGTAAAGCCTTGCCCCGTGTTTTTAGCGCATTTTCTCATTTATGGAAAAAATGCACTATTGGGCTCGCCATGTCCGTCCGTCCGTGACCTCAAGTTTTCGTCGACGAGAAAATGCGCTCTCTGTCACTCACTGCAGTGAGTACTGAGTTATATTTTTGATTCTTTGCGACAACAGGTTCCCAAAGATTATGGAGTCGCCTGCTCGTCCATGGTACGACAACTGCAGTAACTGCACTTGTCATTGAGCCAAAGATCGAGATGGTGGGAGCGCTGCAGCGGCCGGTCAGCTGTAGTACGTTGCGCCGACGCACGGCATGGCTGCAGTTGAGGAATGAGGAATGAGAATTTAGTCGCCGACGGGAGTTCGTGAGTGACGGTTGTTTACGAAACAGCTCGCCCTTGTATTTTGCGGTGAACGTTATGAAAGCGTTGTGACAATGGATCAATCCAAGGAAAAGCTCAAACCAAATCCCAGAGCGACGGCAAGCTGGATATCTAAGTTATCGTTTTGGTGAGTATTTCAAATCTTTCTCACCGTTTCCCAGTTAATTCAAATGAGATTTGTCACTTGTTACCGGGTATTTTTTGGAAGCATTAGAAAATGTTTGTAGGTGTTCTGCAATGATTTTCTGACTAACGTATTCCATCGTTTTTTTTTACCGAAATTCCTTGTACGTTAGACAGAAATGTATCGAAGTGCGGTTGCTAGTAGCCCGCAGCCAAACTCTTCTTAATCGTACGATTTTGAAGAATTTGGGGTTTATCAGTTTTGATTTTCAATGTCTAAATAGAAATCTTAAGTTAGCCTACGTTTTTCAGAATTCTTCTGTTTTAGAGTAATTCTGTTTTAGAGTAATATCCTCTTAAAATTATCAGGAGTGGAAGAGTTACGATAATCATTACATATTAGGCTTATACTGGTGCATGGTTTTTCGAAGACGAATTAAAAATTCCTATCTTTCTTTTTAAGTTTCTAGAGATGCCTGACACTGACAGGCAGACATTCCCTGTTAGTGGAGCACTGTTTTGGTCCCATCGCCATTTGATTAATATTCAACTGGACTCTTCTTATTTCTCTTCTGTACTTGAAGTAATTACTAGGAATTTTAAAGTAAAAAGTCTTTCGATATCGAAGTACTGAATTGAGTCGAGTCTATCTGCTCAATTTAGATTTATTTTGATGACGTTTATTGCGCTAGATAGGAGATTTAGCTTCATCGTGTATGTAAGGAAGGGGATGTAAATGCTTAGATTATAAAATGATCTACTCGAAATTTAAACCAGCCGTACCATGTTTTTAAATAACAGTCGCAATACTACGCATCACATTCCTATTAAAATACGCGTCTTTTTATTCGGTGCTAAAAGAAAATGATTTTCATGTTCCGTAGCACGGAAGTTTAGCTTTAGTACCTATGGGAATTGTTAAGTTATTGAGTAGTCGTTTTATCGTGAAAAATGTCAAGTTTTATGAAGGTATTTCTGGCTGCAGCCTCCGAATGACGGTGCGCATCGTCTGGGCTAGCCACATAATTTTTTACGTCTTATTGCAACGAGAAACAAGTTTTAGACGTTCATTTAAAAGTTTTAAGTAGAGTCATGATTGAATTATGAATTTAACTAATTCAACGTTTAAAACTTTGGATGCGAAATTTTTTAAATGGGTGCACAAAATTCAGTTTATAATGATATCGAAATTTCACATTTTGTTGCTTTTTATGAACGACCGTGAATCTCACGCCTTGGTTGCAGGTTTTTTAAAGGTCATTGAGTGGCATATGCGAACGTCGCCTAACATTTGATCTTGTCCGTCCCAGCGGCATGAAATTTGAAACAGAATGCTAGTTTGTTCTATCGACAGTTGTTAAATGTCACTTGGAGAATTATTCATCATAGAGATAGCCGTTAGGCAAGAAAAGTCTACTAATTTAAACGCTGCCAACGGTAAGTCAATTTTTTTTTTGCTACTGAGAAGTGTAATTTTTATGCGGTCAACAAGAGGGGGGTCTTATTTTATTGATAAAAATAGAATTATAATTCTACGCTGCTGACAATAGAATTATAATTTTTACTACTGACAATAGAATTGTAATGTTATGCTGGCGACAATTCGCAGCTGTATTAGAATGGTAATCTAGGCTTCCATTAATGATTCAACAGTGAATTTCGGTGTGATTTTTTTTCTTTGAGAACTATGTATTTATTTCTCTATTAATGCACATGTAAGAATATTAGTCTCAAAAATGATTTATTCGTTCGAATCAAATAGTGAATTAAGTTCATGTTCTCGACCATTGTTTGAAACAATTTGTATTGTGAATGTCTGCGGTACATTATCGCAAGAACGACTTGATGCTGATGCAGCGATAAAGTTGTGGCAGCTCTGATCATTATTGGTGAATAAATACGATCAGCATCGCAAAAAATTATTTATTGATGGTTATCCTTTTCCAATTATCAAGGGCGCCACCGCGCCACATAACTTTCAGTTTTTTACAACGTTTTTTCTTATTTTCGTTTCGATTCTGTCTGTCTGTCATCAAAAATTCAAACCTTAAATTAGACCACTTTTGAAGATCCTAGAAACCTGAAATTTGGCATGCATGCTTATGCTGCCTAACAATTCAAGATTTGATCTTCGGAAGTAATAATTAAAAAAATAATAAAAAACTAAAAATTCACGGTTGGGAATTAGTTGAGAATCTTTTTTTGTCAAACATCCAGACTTGCCAACCCTGGAAAATGATTTGAATTGCTAAAATTGCTAAACTAAAAATGAGAAAATAAATGAATTTTAAAAACCATTTTTTATTAAAAACCACGTTCTTCTGGTCTTTACAAAACTAAAAACAATGAAAAAAACTTTTAAAAACCATGTTATCTTAACGGACAAAAAAGAAAAACATTTACTCTTACATAACCTTACATAAAATTTTGCATAACTTTAATGTTATGTAAGAGTTGATGTTTTTCTTTTTTGCCCGTTAAGAAAGCATGGTTTTTAAAAGTTTTTTTTATTTTGTTTTATTTCTTTGTCTAATGCTAATCACATTCTCTGGGCCTCATATACCACTTGGGATTCTTGAGTAACCTTATTAATGCTATTCTATCAATACGGCATCTGTGAAAACCGCGTAAATTCATTAACTGCTAGAAATGGATTGTTCTGTAAGTGTTTTAGATGAAATCATAGCAATTTTGAAATCATTAATTTGGAAGCTCCACGCCTAATGAAACAAGCACGGAAAATTCAGGGGGACAATCATCATGCAGTTTGATGGCTTGGCTGGCAGCGTTGCATGCAGTCGAGTTGGTGGTACAATGCAGCGTGAGTACCTGCGATACATGCAGTCGAGTTGGTGGTACAATGCAGCGTGAGTACCTGCGATACACGCAGTCGAGTTGGTGGTACAATGCAGCGTGAGTACCTGCGATACATGCAGTCGAGTTGGTGGTACAATGCAGCGTGTGTACCTGCGATACATGCAGTCGAGTTGGTGGTACAATGCAGCTAGAGTACCTGTATGCAACGTCGCTAAATCGCGCCCGGTAGTAAAGATTATTTTCCAATTTGAGAACGTTGGACTCCTTCAGAAACGTTCTGCGTTTTGGCCTTTACGTAAGGTCACTTTCGCTCCTTCCCATTTTCGCTATAGTGTTTCTCTATAAAGTAGAGTATGCGCCCTGATTTGTTCGCGACACTTTTCTTTGAAGTACCGTAGTTCACTTTTCTTCGCAACAAAACATTGAGCAATGTTTGAAAAAAGTATTATTACTTGAAGAATATTTACCTTCCAATACTGATTAATTCAGCGTTACGGAGCTTGATAATTCGTAATTAAATCAATTTGGGCAAAGTTTTTCAAGAAAAATAATTATCACAATAATATATTGGATTCTTCTCCGCCGTAAGTTGATGGCTAAACTTTATTTTAAATCAAAGTTTATCAATGCCTTATTCCTTAATTAGAATGAAATTGAATTATGAAAATCACATTAAAAATGTGACTTGTTCGATACAAAAAATTGTGATTGTTATTTATTGATCTTTAAGGCGCTAAATTGTCAAAGTTAGTGTGACGAAGACTCACTTGGTGTTTGCGGTGGGATGTTTCGCCTCGCCCAGCTTGTTGACGTTTGCCCGGTCAACTGCTGCGCTGTTGATACCGGGCTCAGCCACACTCTGCGGCGCCTCAATTTCCGCGTCTTATGATAAGTTAATTGGAGCTCAAATGTTATACGGATTCGTAGTAAGATTTTGCTTAATCTTTCATGATTAGTTTTTGAGAAATTCAACAAATATTTATTGGTGTTGGACTGTTTAAACCAACAATAGCCTTAGAAATACCAATAGTGAAGAGGCCTCGTTAATTCATTTTGAGGATTTCAAAGTGTTACCCGGTTATTACTCAGATTAAATTTGAATAATTAGAGATTCCCGTCAAATTGACATCAAAAATCTGCCAAATTTCGGAAATATGATCATCCGGCTTGCAATAAATGAAGAATTAGGTACGCAATAACTAATAAGGAGTGATGAAGAACATTTCCACCTCATCATATCTGCGTCTGCATATATAAGTTGGTTGGCTGAGTTGGTTTGGTTGTGGCTTCACAGGGAACAGAGCGCAGTACGTACGTCGTTCGACTTCTGCTGAAAGTAATAATGCGGAAACTATTGGCAGGCACCGGTAAAGCAAGGTAAATCGATTATAATTTTCTATACTGAATTAATTGAAAATCTCACAAGTAAAATATTTTTTCAGTTAAATAGGGCTTAATAGATTCTTAGATATATTTTCACACGCACTGAGGCCTCATGAATATTCCGGTTTAATTGTGCATTGAAATGTATCTTGTTCGCGATAAACCCAATTCAATTCTGTTTTAAGTGCTACACTGTAAAATGTATCTAATTTTTTTGCGTAGCCCGCTGTTGTTACTCACTTGCTACCCGTTCTGCCGGTCGCCACACGTAGGGCAGCACTGCAACAAATCTCTTCCTCTCCTGTCTGTCCGGAGCCAGCCTCCCCATATACTGCCCCAGCTGTTTATTGTTCAGTCCCCAGCTCGCCGCTAGGTTCTGTTGGGCCGCCTCGCTTGCGATGTCCCTCTAGCATCAGTGCAGACTGCAGAGCAGTTGCGTTTGTAGGGAAAAGCAGTGGAGAGCGCAGTTTAGCGATGGAGTTGCTCCCATCTGGGATGACGCGGCCAATCCTTTCTCATCAAGATTGTGGCCATATCATGTTGTCCGCCGAACAACCAGCTTATCATTGGATATTTTTTCCGGACAGATTGTTGATCAGGATTCTCCGCAGACTTCTGGTGTGAAAGACTAACAGTTTGTTGAAGTCGCTGTAAGTCATACGCCCGTATTCTGAGGCGTACAGAAGAGCTGATAATACAAGATTCTGGTAAACTCTGGGAAGGGTAGCCCAATGGTTAACAGAGTACCAGGGCTGAGGCATAGAGGTGCGGGTTCGATCCTAGATCTGTACGCCAGTTTCTGGT